GCAGTTCTTGCAACATTTGATCTGTTGCTGTCGACTACAGATACAGGATGCATACAAAAAAAAAAAATTAGGATGATATCCAAAGTTTCCAAAGAACAGTGTTACTTGGGTAATTATATCCTGAGAATAAACACAAATTCTGCAAGGTGTAAGAATTCTACCCAGTTGTCCTATTGGAAATTGATTTAACAATGCAAATATTGTTTCAGGATGCCATTGGTCTCGTCTGGTGGCCATTGGACTGAGTGTGGTAGGCTAACAAGAGAGGTATCATGATGTTTGCCAGAAATGTGTAGAGTAATGCTTGCCAGAAACATCCAGTGAACTAGGTTCCTTGCTCCAGGTCATGTACTTTCAAACATCAAATCTAATGTGTGATCACCAAAAATCTTGCAACCAGATGGAAGATCTTGAAAAACCCAAAATATCCTACAGGGGACTGTTACCATACTATTTCAAGAATTCTCCCCATAACAGACTGGGAAGAACGTAACAGCAGTCTTAGTATTATAGAACTACATGATTCCAGGGCTCATGTGGGTTGAGAACTGGTTGTATTTTAGATTTCTTGAGCAATGCTTAAGCACAGAGGTTCTGCAGGAGTTGCTTGACTTGCTTCATCAAAAAGCCAGGGAATATCACAGATGCAAAGTTTTCTGGAGGTATCACAGATGAAGAAGGAGGCAAATCATCACTTCTACAGTATTCCAGTTTCAAGACAAAGTACCAGCTCCTTTATCATGGGTACTGGGGATTATGTTGAAGTTAAAGAACAGTGACGACCAAATCAGCCTTTGATTCAGCTTATGTGCATTCTGGAGGTACTCTAAATTGCAGTGAACTGCCCTGATGCCTGTGGCCTGCTGGGCCCCTTCCAATGAGTGCCTCTGGGTTTTAAATGCTACCCTAATAGCTATCTAGCTTTATGATAGATAGCATATCATTGATCACAGGTGTTGAGTTTCCTGGAATAGTACATGCAAGGAAACAAGGGCTGGGATTTCCCAGCAGCTTGTAATTATATGGCCTCTACTGCTAATTCTAATATACCTGTCTATACCACAAAGGGCTATATGGGTTCAGGATGTTGCAGAATAGGTTGGGTGGAGAAAGCCCTCTTTAATCTTTCAAAGGTTAATCAATCTGTCCCTAAGTGTCCCAGTCAAATGAATTTACTTAAGAGGTTGATCAAGGTAGCTATGAGCTATGTAAAACCAGGAATGAATGTATGATACTAGTTGGCAAAGGCCATTCATCTCTGGATGTCTTTGATTTCTTGATGAGGTTGCCAAGAGAAAATGGCTTCCGCCTTTGCCAAGTCTATCTGAACTGCTTCAGATTAAATATGATGGCCCAAGAAGTCAATGATTATTTCAAATTCACACTTCTGAAGCTTGGCATATAGGCACTCCTCCTGAAGGCTCAGCAACACTGCCCATTCATGCTGTACATGTTTCTGGGGAGGGGGAAGAATAAATTACAGTAAAATGTCATCCAGATAAATAATAACAGGTCCATGAAATCCCAGAAATGTTGCTCATCAAGTGCTGAGAAGACTGTGAAGGCACTGTAGAGACTGAATAGGATCACTGTATACTCAAAACTGCCATATGGGATATGAAAAGCAGTTTTTCACTCATCACCTTCAGATCTGCCCTAGGTTTAAAGCCCCCCTGAGGTCTCAGGTCATTTGCAGGCACTCAAAGAGTTCCAAAATCAGTTGCAAAGAGTATGTTCCAGAGGACGATCTGAGTGAGGGCCCTATAGTGACAGATACCTGACTTCTTTATGAAAAGTACAGAGCTGCAGCTGATGACATGAATGGATGATTGCTCTTTTTAAATTTTTTGAGATGAAGTCCCTCAGTGCTGCCAATGTAGGTTCCAAAAGGTAGTAAATCTGGATGAAGGAAACTTGGCCTCAGGGATTGGGTCAACAATTGGGAGAGATTGTGGGAAAGCTGGGGGCGAGGTGTTTGAATGTTCATCTCAGTGCATCTGCTGAGAGATGAAAAAAAGCATTTCCAAGAAACTCTGCCTCAATTAACTCACTATAACCAAGGGTGGGAAATTCCTGTTACAGTTTTCAAGAGTCTGTATTTATCCCAGACTAGCATTAAAGAAACTTCACTGAAATCCATTATGTTTTTGCTTACTTGGTCAGGTGGGGTGTGACAATAAGGTAATCACAAGGATGGCAAGTGGTCAGCCTCTTGCTTATTGAACAAATGAGTGAGTCAGTGCACTTTTGATGGAAGCTATGTAAAGCCTCTTCTTTCTTCTTTCTTGTCTCCTATTAGGATCCCTGAAATGGAAACTGGAACATGCCTTTTACATCAAGAGTACCTGAAACTTACTTTCCATTTGACCAAACAATTTGAAGTCATGAACTTGAAACCATGCTAGATCCAACAGTGGAGGGAAGTGGGAGACCAAAGAATTCCAATTATTCAGAGTGCTCAGCCAGGTTCATTCTCACACAGTCTGTAGTCAATACCACTGCATTGGAAATGGTGATCTTCTGTTGATGAACAACCATGGGAGGCTTTATGGAGTGTCAAGGAATATCATGTATCTTCTCAAACTTCAGGCCCATGAAGTTGCTACTTGGTTGAGAGTCAATCAGTCTATATGCCAAGTTGACCTGGGACATGCAGTATAAAGGCATTACTGGTGCTGCTTGGGCTGTGGTTCAACGGCTTGGGCTAACTGGACATCAATCTTTCCCTGATCTAACAGCCCATCTAAACCAGGCAAAGCTCATATCTTGAAGCAACGGGACACAATTACTTTGGCTGAATATGAGATAGCAAAATTATTCTGGCTCTCATTTTTTACCTGGGTAGGTCCTGATTTTTTGGGGGGGGGGTGTTGGGGGGACCTTGATTGTTGCTGTTCCAATTATTCATCAATATAGGCAAAAATGGACCAAGTGAGGCTGTCCTTGAACTGGTCTATCAATATGATCTCATTCCTATCCAAGTCTTGGACCAGATGCTGAAAGTCATTCACATATTCTACAACTGAACAGGGCCCTTGGAGTAATTTTCTGATGTGTCAGCTGGCAGTGGCTGACTTCATGGGATCTTCCAATATTATTTTTAACTTATGAACTTGTCAAAATTGATTAACATAATGCTTTGTTGTAGCAGCACTGAAGCAGCCCATTTTGTAGCTGGCCCAAGTAATGGACCACTTTGATTTGGTCAGTAGGAGAATCTTCAGGGTGAAGGCACATATCAAGGGTGCAGTGTGTCAGGAGTGCTGAAAACTGGTCAAAGGATCCATCAGATTTTTCAAGAGTAGCTACTGGACATATATGATGTGGGGAAGAGCAGCCGGCTGATTTTGTTTTAATTTGCAAGGCATCAAGCCAAGCTGTTGGTTGGAACAGCTGTGCCCTCAATTGCATATTCTCAGCTTCCAGTTTCTCCATTTTGGCCACTGAGGCTGAAAGAGGGAGATTTTAAATTGGGAGGTTGGAAACAATCTGTCTTATGTATGCCAAGCAAAAAGCAAGGGAATTATAAGTTACAAGTCCAGAAGTTAAGCTGAAGATTCATTCACAGAGCAAGGGATGGGAAGTCACAGGAACACCAGTCAGGAAGCAGGAGAGTTGTTTCTAACCAAAGGAGGTCAATATTCCTGGCATTGCTTCATTACAGCAGTTGATGCCCCTTTCTCTCAAAGAGTGATGCCAATCTCTGCTGCTTGGCTCTGTTTAACTGGCAGGGTGATTTAGTCAGGGCCTGAGTCTTTGCTATCCAAATCAGCAGCCACCTGGATGAGTCTGACTCCCCACTCACTGGTGGATGACAGCATGTAACCTCAACTACAGGCTGGGAGTCCATCAAGTTCTCTTTAGAATCAGAGAAGTCCATCACACTTCCTCTCCAACAATTTCATGTTCCTTTATATATTTGTTTTGCAAATATATAATTCTCATTCATGCCCTCTATATAACCAAACCACCTCAATGTACTTCTTTCATACTGGTTACTCATTTTTGTATTCAACCCACATTAATTAGCATCCATTCATACTTGGCCCTATCTCTTTCCATTTTACTACATATTATTATCATACATGTTACTTAAGTATCCACCTCCCACTCTATTCACCTTTTTCATTTCCCCTGGCATAGTCAATTCTCACTGCCATATAACAAAAGGAGAGAAAGCATTCTTTTATAAACAGCCATTTTAACTTATTTTGACATTCATTCCTTGCAACAAACCACAAACTACCTACTACTGCTCTTCCAGCATCTGCACATCTTAAAATGTCTCTATTCATTTTTCCATCTTTAATAAACAATCTACCAAGTTGAACAAATTCATCTGTGCTCTAGTTTTCTGCCATGCATATATATAATTTATGATAATTCACTCCAATTATCCTGTCACACACACCTATTTTGATCTTTGATACATTGCTGTTCATATTATTCTTTGCATCATAAAATCTAACATTCACTGCAAATAATTTGGGTTCTCAGTTGATAACATGGCATCATCTGCATAAAAAGTACATACACACATTCATAACTTCAACCAACACACCTCTAATGTCTTATACATTTATCCATGAATATATTAAATATGAGATGTTGTACATTTCTCTTACTCCCTGCATAATGTTGAACTATTTGCTAAACCGTCTATATTTTGCATACATGCGTTAATTCTATCATATACCATTCAGCGAGCAACGTTCAGCTCCATATTCACACAAAACAATCCACAACTCAAGCCTACATTTTATCACACAGTTCTCTAAATCAATAAAACATAATCAGTTTTTATTTCTCACATTCATAGTGACCAGATGAAGAGCAGATATCTGCATACCTTCTCTCTGGCAAAAAGTTGCACTGCATTTTGCAGATTTTGCTGATTGTCACCTCTTGTATTTTTAGTTTATTTATTTATTTAATTTATATTTCAAATTTGTCACTACCCATCTCACTCTTGTACCTTTTCAATCAGAATTCAGCCACTTTCCCAGGCACACTTAACAAAGTAATCTTCTTGTATTTTTCCCTTTGTAAAGGGGAAAAGTAACTGCAGTCATCAGCTCCAGAGCAGTCCTCATGCACATGCTAAACAAATCACTCTCATTCCATATGCAAACCACAACTATATTTTAACATTTCTATAGCTACATCACCTATACCTGTACTTTTCTTTTTCATTTTCCTTTCTCTTGGACACTAACATTTGTAGCATCCATTTCAATTTTATTCTTCAACATATCATTCCCATCCCAATCTCTGAAATATTCATCATTTTCATCCCAAATCATTTCATTACTTTTATTTTTAATTCCATGTACCCCATTGAAGGCTCTGTTTTTAGCTCTCTTCATCCCTTTCTCAAACAAATTATTTTAATCAAAACTGCTCTGTATTTTCTCTCTTTTCCTCAACCATTCTTTCCTCTCTTTGACTACTTTCCTTGAAACTATCCTTTTTCTCTGTACATATTATATAATTTCTTTCTCTCATCCTCATTTCTGCAATAATCATGCTCTTACATACATACTGTTCTCATCTACATCTACAAGCTGTTTCACTTCATCATTCCATCAACTGTCCTTTTTCATATTTCCCACTGATGTAATTCCACAAGCTTTGGTGGCACTCTGGAACAATATTTTTTGTTCTGTTCCAAGCAGGTTCCTCATTCTATTTCCTTATGTTCATTTACCACTCATTCTGTTGGGAAAGTAATCTATCTTCTAATACCTCTTCATACAGGACTTGTAGTTTGCTGCAATCATTCTTTGACTCTTGTTTCCCTGACTTCTTTTTTTTCATATTCATTTTTCCCAAGATCCACTTGAAATTACCAAATAATGATGTAACCCACATTCAGAACCTCTCATCACCTTTGTACCTTTCACTAATTCTCTCAATCTTACATTATAAACAATCAAATCAATAATGCTTTTAGATTTATATTCATTCCTTTGCCATGTGTATGTATGAATAGGCTCATGTTTTAACAATGTATTTGAAACCAACAGCCCTTTTTCTAAGCAAATACTTGTCAAATGGTCACCATTCTCACTCATTCTTGAGTCTTCAAAAGGCACTGTTACTTTTTCTGTACTCTTTCATTTTATTCTCACCCATGTCACCTGGCAAAATATTTTTTTCTCCTGGATTGCATTCATTCAGAAAGCTACACAATTTTCCCTGAAACTCATATTTGGTTCTTCATTTATCACCATTCACTGGAGCATAACCTATGGAAACTTAGAAATACACCACAACAAACCAATTAAAAAAATTACAAAGTTTTACTTTTTTGCTCTTTCAAAAACATGCAATTCTTATTTTGTTTAAGCTCTGCAATCATTCTATTCGGGTTAAACAAGAAAATGACAAGAGAATGAGCCTCAGGACTAAAAAAAACCCTGTCCAAGTTATATTTAAGAGTAACAATTTCCCTTCCTTATTATTGCTCTATTTTTATTCATGGAAGATACTTTAGACCCAAGATAAAGTCTGAAGAGTTCTGGAAGACTCTATCGTGAGAGAGATGAGACCAAGCAAGAGCAAAACAAAGAGAATGAACAGAACTATTTTTACTAGTAACTCATCACCATGGAACTCCATCACTATCTATTCCAACTCTAAAACATTTAATTTAAAACTAGCCATGTGATGGGATACTCACATCGCAGTTGGCTCTTCCACCATTACCACATCTCTGTTCTCTCAGTGTCTGTGAGCAGGAAAGAAAAAGAATTATATCTGGTAGGCTGGTTTGGACTTACCTAAGATTTTCCCTACATAAGCAAATCATTCAGCATAAGAAAACAAACCTAGAATATCTGACTTACATATTTCCCATCTCTGCTGCAATTCCAAAGAAAAGTTCAGAAGCTTATGCTTTCATTTTTATGAACCTTAGCTTGTCATGGTGCCTCAACCCATGAAAAATGCGGCACATCATTAATAATAAGAATGGAATGAAGCCAACTTTATGAAGATCATTTGTTTCTATTAACTATTGTGATGATTAATCACACTTTAAGGGTTAAGGAGATAACTCTAAATAGCAGTCTGGCTAAAATGGAAAGTGGATTATTTCATGATCAAATAAAAGAAAAAGAGAGGAGGAGAGTGTGATTGTTTTTGTTCATCCTTTTAACTCCCATACTGGGCCCATGTTTATAAAAAGATGCTCACCAAATGCTTGAACTCTGCAGAAAGGCTTCCGTTGTTGGACTCTTCCATGTTCATCACCTTAGTATTTGTACCCAAGATATTAAACTTCCGGGATCTTGATAAGCCAGAAAGAGAGGAATACCTTTAGAGTGTCTAAGCATTTATTAAAGTAAAAACCCACTAACAACAAACAAAAAGCTAGGCCTTCCCAAGATACATTGGGGATGACATATTTGAGAACCATCAGTAACTACCCAAAGGCAGTACTATAAAGTGTGACACCTTAAACTTACCCCCGGAGGGCAGCCACGTCACCAGAGTCCCTGCAAGAGAGGAAGAAATGTGCATCATCAAATCAGGAGAAAATGGACTGGATGGATTGATAATACTACATAACACAAAACCCTGTAGCAGTAGAAGAGTGGCTGAAGTTCTCAATTTGGTATAAAAATGCTTGACGATTACACCTGACTGCATGTTTAAGCAAAACAGTCAGACATATTTGGGATTCATACCTCTCCAAATTTTATGATATACTTCTCAAATGAAAAAAAAAAGTATCAATAGCAGCAAAAACGTATGTTTCAGGGTAAAATGCATATTAACGTTGTACAATTTTTTGTGTATTTTAAAAACAATTGCATTTGAACATACTTGTCAATGCAGACTTTGATTTTCAGCTGATAATTCAGCTCAGGAAACTTAACCAGTAACCTACAGAAGACAAAGTACACATTAACTTTTGAAAACACAGTTCTCCCTACTCCTGTTCATTAGTAACTATCTAACACACACACACACACACACAATCTGTAATTCATCTGATCCATACTGGGCTGAACTGGTGGTGGAGGGACCAGGTGTTGCCCACTGACACTAGCACAACCCCAAGTAGGAAAATGATACATCTTACTTGATGGCAAAAGGGGTCCATTATACCTACCATTATGTTTATTTGACAGTTTCTTGGTTACATTGTGCAAGTGTGCAAATTGGTACACAATGCAGATTCCTTATCTTTCATTATCAAAAACACTATTAGTAGTTCTCATGGCTGCTTCAAGTTACTTCTTTAACTGTGCATAGCACCCAGAGAAGCTCACATAGCCCTCTTTGCCCTTTGCAGAATATATTTTGAAAATCAGAAAATAATTTATAAAGGCTGCAGAATTCAGCTTTTCTGATGAAGAATTTAGGTTATTTCAAATAAGTATGTTAAATTTAGAATGTGTATGGCCTTGCTTGTAGCACCCTGAACTTTGACCCTCCTCCCCATTTCAAATGTCTGTGAGCAGGCAACTCACCGCACTTTTGTTGTAAATTGTACTCCAGTTTTAATAACAAGTGGGCGATCTGGGTGCATTGGCATACAGGGCTGCCGTTCTACCACAAAGGCACTGCAAGAACAAAGGAAAGATGGTTAGTGGTGGGAATTATGAGAAAAGAAGTGCTAGTTCAAATTTACAAGTTCACTGAAAAATTGCAATATGAATGCATGCACATAAGAACGCTTGACAATTACACTTGACTGCATTTTTAAGCAAAACAAACATATTTGGGATTCATACTTCTCCAAATTTTATGATATACTTCTCAAATGAAAAAAAAAATGTATCAACAGCACCAAAAATGTATGTTTCAGGGTAAAATGCATGCTAACATTGTGCAATTTTTTGTGTATTTTAAAAAACAATTACAGATTGATGCAATAGGACAGGATACAGTTACAGTAAATGTAAAACATTTTGTTTTCAGAGGTGTGCCTGGCACTTTTTTCCACAAGCTGGACATGACTGTCTTGTCTGAGCCCTCATTTAGAGTTGATTTTGGTTGCATTGTGTGGACATTCATCTGTATTGTATTTGATTGTTTATTTGGTATTAGTATTTTTTATTTTTGGATTCTGGCTAAACTGCCAGGAGTGAGTTTTGAGCTGGACACTATATAAATAAATAGACAAACTTGTGATAGATTGATTGTAGAAATGGTCAGTTTCTATGTGCAACATTTCAGCACTCCAACTTCAGAGGACTAGATCTTTCCCACACACCCAAGACCAACAGGCTGTACCTCTTCATGAGATTCCTGAATAACTCCACAATCCGCTCTTCCAGCAAGGGCCGGTGTTGAACAATTGGGTCCCCCTTGTAGGAGACCTTCTGCTGGAGCTCCTCGAGTTTCTTAATCTGTTGACGTGTTTGAAGCTGTGACTCAGCCAAGGATGTTATCCTGGATTGAGGGGTAGGAGAGGAACAAAAGAAAAAAAATCTGCTACATCTTATGTCAACATCACAGTCGAATAACTATGCTTTCTACTTAGGACAGTCACCGTAACTATTTTCTCCTGGTTTCTAGATAAATTTATACAACTTGAAACATCACCCAGCTACGCTAGGAATGGAGGATCTGCAGCTGCAGCCTGCATAGCCATTTGTCAGGTAAGATGGGAGTATAGTTTAACAGCATCTGGACCATATAAGGGGCCTGAATTTAGATCTCCTGATCTAAATATACTAATAATTGCAACTCTCCAATATCTCGGAAGGTGGAAAGACTGTTCTGTTCCTATAGTGACTGTCCTCTGTATTTTCTATTCCAGAATGTTGCTCTATGTAGTTCCAATGCCCTTTTAGTCTGGAAAGTGCATTAGAAAGAGCCTGCATTGACAACTATATTCTCATTTTGTAACTTTACTGAAAGACAACTGGCAACTAGTTCTGAAAACAGAAAGGCAGCCAGACTCCATTCTTACCAGTTCTCCAGACGATCTAGGCAAATGTTGGGTGGTCCACCAATACATGCAATCTGCTGTCTCCTCTTCCAGTCAGCCAGCTCCTCATCCACCAGTGTCTTCTGCACATATTCCATGGCTGATAGAAGCCCAGCCAGTTCACTCACAATCCCCTTTGTCAGGAAGAAACAGGAATGTTGGTAATTCTCTTCTGTTCTTGTTTAGCATCTCAAGTTCATATACAGGTAGTCCTTGCTTAACAGCCATTTGTTCACCAACCGTTTGAAATTATGATGGTGCTGAATGAAAGGACTTATGACTGGTCCTCGAAGTTCCAGCCATTTCAGTGCCCCAGCAGTCATGTGAACAAAATTCAGGCCCACTCGGGCCCACCCACATTTATGATCACTTTTTGGCTGCCCTGCCCTCCGGCCCAGCCTGCTTCCACCCCACTGCATGCCACGACTGTACCAGCTGGGGCCTTCTTTGTACCATCTTCTTTTGTGCTGGTGCTGCCAGGGCATCTTTTGCACCCTGGCCAGGGCTTCTGTTTGTGCCCCGGCCAGGGCTTCTGTTTGTGCCCCGGCCAGGGCCTTCTTTTGGGAGAGAAGGACCTGGCTAGAAGGATCCTTCTTTTGTACCAGTGCAGCTAGGGCCTTCTTTCATATACCTGCCTTTCAAAACCTCTTGAGAAGGCTGCACACAATTTGGACAAGGGTGGATGCGGAAGGCCTGGTGCAGCCAGCAGTTCCCTTGCAAAGGGCCAGGCTGGGTGCGCCTCATCATCATCAGCAGCAGAAGATGGCAAAGGTCAGCTGGGGGCAGCAAGGCCGGCAGGGCAAGTGAGTGCAGGGCAAGTGAGTGCAGGGCAGCAAGGCAGGCAGAGGTGGCGGAGTGCAAGGAGGCCAAAAGGGCAGAGATGGGGGGGAGATAGGTAGATGGAGCGAGTTGAAGAGAAGGCAGTCCCTTACCTTACCAAGCCTTGGGGCTGGGAGGAATCAAGCTGGGAGTGGCTTGGATTGGGGTGGGTCCTGGCTAGCGACTGGTGGGATTCAGTTAATGACAGCAACCAGGACTGCTGGGATTGCTGTTGCTAAGTGATGCGGTCATGTGACATTGCGCTTTACGACCACATTGCTTAGCGATGAAACTTCCAGTCCCAATTGCCGTTGTAACTTGAAGACTACCTGTACATGCATTTTTGTATCAACTGATGTCTTATTAAATATATGTTAGATCCAGATTTATCATACTCAGAACAAAAAGAAAAACTTGTTAGTCACAAATGAGGCCCTTTGATTTCAATGGGTATATCAAAAGTATGACTAAGTCTAGATTCATCATAATAATTATAAATGGAACCAGCTCCCATGTTTAGCACTGAGCCATCCAGAATGAAACACTGGACCAATCTGTTTATAGTAAACCAACATTCTTTAGAATCCCAGTTTCCTATCATGATAGAGTAAGCCTTCATTTGTTTAGTGTAAAATGTAATAACCAGGATCTCTGGCTTGAAGAATCAGAAGCCAAGAATAAATTCTGATTTATGATTCTAGCTTGTTAAGAAAGAAACAAACCATGGTTCACATAGTAGTAAATAAACCCACAAACAGAAATTCCTGTTTGGTTTAGTCCCTCCTAGCAGCAACAACAGCTGAACAGCATGTGCCACAAACAAACCCTCATTTTAATGTATGAATGTGTAACTCAGCTCTATTAGAGAGACTGGATTTGCACATTAAGTTAAGCTGTAGGCTTGCTTAAAAATTATTTATTGCAGGAGTGGACATTTGAAGGGTTGGAGGTTACAACTGTCAGCCTCACAATCTTCCAGAGGCTCTACAAGAGACTATTCTGTGACATGGTGATGTCACCACTATGGGAGGAGGATGCTTTTTGTGGCTTTTGAGAGGGTGTTAATTGGAAAGGGGAGGGGGAATCTCTGGGAGACAGTTCCCTAGTTTAATAAATAATAGGGATCACACAATACACCAAACCACCATCCCCAACTTGGGTATTCTCCAGATTTGTGGACTTCAATTTTCAGAACTTCCCAGCCAATATGGCTATTCCTAAGAATTCCGGTATTTGAAGTCCACATACTTGGGACACCAATAATGGGGGAGGCTGCATGAAGCCAAAACCATAGTTCACAAACTATAATGATTGGGTTCACGTGTATAGTTTGTTTAGTTTTAGGTTAGCCTAATATATGAACTAGCCAGTATCTAATTTCTCATTCTGCTTCCTGCAAGCATCTGTGGTCAACAAAGAACAAGTCCTTTCTCACAGACTGACATCTGCTGCATAACCTACACAATGTGCATTGTAAGTAAGGATGTTCAGTTTTGGGGAAGTGAATAAGAGATGTGGAAGGGAAGGGAGCCTTCTCACAACAGCTCTCACCCTTCGCATTTGATCCAGTGCAGTCAGCATTTGCTCCAGCTGTTGCATTTTCTGGCGTGTCACCGACTGGTTGTTTCCATTCAGATCCTGCATGTCTAAGAGGGGACATAAGGGAGGGAAGAACATTATTTAAGCCCAGACATCAGAGGGATTTCCAAATCCTTCTCTTGCATGTCTGCGATTCTTAGTTCACTTCTTCGAAGCAAATAAGTAGCTTGCTCCTATTTTAGGACTTCCTTGCCACTTTTGCAATTTTTGTACATGGAAGTGAATTGTTCCCCTTCTCACTTTTCTTATTTCTTCTCAGTGGTTCCCTTTTGCTTTTCACATTCACTGTAAGGATTGTAACTTACCTTCAAATAAACACATTCTCTAGTCCAGCCTGGTACTGAGTGGCACCAGTGGAGAGAAGAAAATAAGCAAGAGGGCCTACACAGCATCATGGTACAAGCCCTGCTCCTTTTGTACATGGATCTATTTTGCACACACATTCAAAATTGCTCTGTTGGCCATCTTGCTAATGTTGATCCCTGTTCCAGCAGATGCTGCTACTGGTACTGTACAGATATGATGGGAATATGTTCCCACCTTAAAGGCCATGCTGGCTAGAGATGATGATTAGCTGTTACCCAGCACTAACCTAAGGCACCAGGATTAGGGAACAATGGGCTATCTTTCATCTCTGGAAGGCAGATCATAAATCTTTACATTCTTCTGATTCTCACAGCTGGTTAAAACCTGCATTTTCTGATACTCATTCGAAGGCTTTGTTATCTTTAACAGAACAAGAACAAAATTGATTTCAACTAGTCTATATCTGTGTTTGGTGTTCAACATTTTGGTTCTGATATTTGGTTGAAATTAGGATCATATGAATATAAAATACTGAGATAGACCATTTGTCTAGCCAGTTCAATATTATCAAATCCAGCTGCCAAGGCTTACCTATAATTTCAGATAGCTATCTTGGAGGCCTGAGTAACTGAATGTGGGGCATCTACATGTTTTGCTACTGAGTTATAGTCCTACCTTCTCCCCAAACCCATTGACAGAGGCAATCTTTTCATATGTTTTGTAGAGCACCTCTCTTTTTTAAGTGGTTCAGGAATGGTTTAAAGGTTGCACTGCTTGTTCTTTTTGAGCAATACTTAGGAGAGTGTGCATAATTTATTCAAGTTGCAAAACAGAGCCCATTCTTTTAAACAGAAATCTCCCACAATCTGCTGTATGGCATATCTAGGAGCTGTTGCATAAATTCCTTGTCCCTAATGAGAACTCTGGCTATTGCACAAATCTATAGTGCCTGAGTTTAGTGAGTTTACATTTGCAACACGTGTGAGATTAGATGGAATATTTTTTTTACCAGTAAATTCCTTGTGATTGATAAATGCTGTTTTTTTTTTTTTTAACTACATACCACCTTGGCTCTTCAAAGTCTTATAATTAAAATCAAAATCATCCTGCAGGTTTTCCACCACTTTCATCTTCTGCTCTAGATCCTACAAAAGCCACAAAAATTGCACAGGATCACCACATTAGAAGGACTAGAAATAATTAAGCAAGAACGTTGAACTATTTATCTGAACCAAGAATTCTGAACTACTTACCTGGACCCGCTTTCTAACATCTTGCAAGTGTTGCTCCAGCATCTGTTGTTTCTCTGTCACTACAGCAGCTGTAGGGTGGTTTGCCTGCCCACCTTGCTATAGTAAAGTGGGAAGATAAGGGAAATAACAATAATAATTAATCTGACATATCCTGGGGGTAATGGAGCAATTTATAATTGCATGTTTGTGCTCAAGGATCCAGCTTGGGACTGCTGCTGCCAAGATGCTTGTGTAAAACAAGAGAGTCTGGTGTTTTCTTTTGTTTTTGTGGTAGTGGTAATGACATTATTCAAGACTAAGAAAAGGGGTAATTGGATCAAACAGCTTAAGAATCATTAAAAACTTGGTTGTTCTCCCAGGCTTTAGGATAGGGTGGTTGTGGAGTTCCTATACATTTGGTTTTTTACTAGTACTGAGTCTTCCAGTTGACTATGATTTGTTCTATATCTGTTGTTTCTTTCTTTCTTTCTTTCTTTAAAATTGTAAGCCACCCAGAGTTATCAAGGACTGGGGGTCCTTAAAATTGAATTAAATAAATAAATAGCCTTACAGAAACCAATCATGACAGTCAGAACAATAAGTCAAAACAGTCTTTCCCCACCTGTGCTGCTGTTGCTGCTGTCTGTAGCAGTCGATTCTCTTCCCAGAGACAACGGGCCACGATGCGGGCAATCTCCATGGGTTTCTCCAGATACCTGCTCTGTAGAAGGAACAGAGAATCAAATTAATGTCCAGGGACTGAGAGGTTGCTGGTGGATAAATATTTTGAGAGAGCCAGAATTTCATTAACTCCTAAGAACTTGAATTGCTGAATCCTGCCCGATTTCCATTTAGTTCAAAATTCTATCTCCAGCAATGGCTAGCCAATGAGGCTGTGCAAAGCATCTTTCAAAAGATATGCTTTGCAAAGCATGCTGCACAAATTAAGTACCCTTCTTCAAAGTATCAGAGTACCTGTGACTTCCATAAGGCTTAGTATAGCTGCTTCAAAGGCGGTCCTGGTTATCCACACATGTTGTAAATGCATAGCCACTTACATACATTTCATAGCAGTCCCAACAGAAGTGCAATCTGTGTACACATGCACACAACTGAGGAAAGACTTCAAGGCAGCTGCACCAAGCCTTCTGGATTATGGCTGCTTTAAAGCTTTAAGAAAGAGTGCATTGCTCTGTAAACTGCCCCTTACAAATGCTTTGCCCAAGCCTACTTGCCAAAAGGTTCAGGGAATTTCACACAAATCATGCACATAAGCGCTACTTTGTCTTTTCCTCAATACCTGAATTTCACTGATATGTTCTCATTGCATATCGAAATTCCTCAATCAGCCTTCCCCAACCTGATTGTGAAGACTAGAAAGAACAAGCTGAGGAGAAACTGCCTGAGATCAGACAACTACTTTACAATAATACACAACTGACAACCATCCTTCCTACAGAAAAATGAGCAGCACAAGCAGGAAAAAGATATAAGATTTGGACCTGGAAACTGAGATGACGACAGACAGACGGAGCTTGAAGCTGTTTATTTTCTATTCCAGTTGTTTTTTCTAGCATTTATAATAAAGCCAGCTTATCGAAGACTGGTGTCCTTCAATCTCTACCTGCTAACCTTCAAGTTCAAGTAATGTTTTGCATGATGCCTGACACCAGTATCCTCCAGACATCTTGGACCACAACTTCCATTTTCTTCAGTTTTCATGTCCAATATTAGTGAATACTGTTCTTTCTGCAAAGTGTAAGGCGAAATGTTGCTATTCTGTGGCCCAATTTTTCAGGACTTTTGCAGGAAAAAATGGGGGTTATTTCTACATTCCGGCCTAAATGCTGATGCAAAAATTTATCTCAGAGAGCTGACCTTGATATGAGAAATAATGCAGGGTTTGGGCTCTGGGTTTGTCTTCAATCATATGTAGGTGAAAGGATGCAATTTAAAAGATGAGTTGAGCTGGCTTCTGATTTAGAACAGCATTACATAAGGACCAGGTAACTCTAGCTTAGTCAAAGGCACAAATCCAGTCATTTGTCTAGCTTCATCTCAGAAACAGGAAAAGGGCTAAATTAACCCTCAAACCACAAACACTAGCAACTTTAAAAGAAAGTCTGCATTAATTGCTGGTGTGAACAGAGTTCCACATTTTTTGTTCACAGGAGTGTCCATAGAGTATGCTAAAAAATATCAAGGTGTCAGTGCGATTGAAGCTCTGCCTGTTCTTTTTATGTGATGCATCGTCACAACCACCATCCTGACTTTTTTTTGACTGCACCCTATGGACATCCATTTATTCCTATTTTGCAGTCTGAATACTGTATGTTGCACTGATGTACTTTTCCTCTGTGGGCTCTCCTAGCACTGAATGCAAAACTGGGAAGCTATTTGTTCGGAGTTTTAAACCATGGTAAGGAATAACAGAAAAAAAAAGAAGAGATCACTGCTGATGTTTTGAAATTAATCTCTTTTCTTCCTGCAATTCTTCCCCACTGTTGATTTCCAGTGGTTATTTTTTTTAATCCATCAGAATTATAAACTTGCAGTTTCATAAAACTAAAGCTGGAATTGTACAGAAAGTAAAATAAATGTGATATAGACAGATACAATTTTTGAATCTGAAGGTTCTTTACTTTTTTTCCTCTTTTAGTTCTTTAATCTTTTCAGCAAAGACTGGTTCCTGAACAGAGTTTGAAATCAAATTCTGTCACAAAATACAATTTAAATATGTAGATAGCAATGATAAGGAACAAATCTGTCATTATAGCAAAAAGAGGAGAACAGGAGAAAGGTTTGCAGCTTCCTACTTTAAAGTCATGCTTTTGTTTGTGTTCCTTGCACTTTCATTATTTTTGCTAGAGTCTGTTGAGCTCCAGGTTACTTAAAAAAACCTGACTATTCAACAACTGCAACAAAAGGAAGCCATAGTAAATATCTAGATGACAGCAGAAAATGTGCTTTCTTATATAATGACGGAAAATTAATAGAATACTTCGGCACTTGCTAAGGCACAAAATGAGTTGAGACAGTAGCTCCCAGAATTTCTCAATAAGTCATTCTGGCTGAAAAATTTGGTGAATAGTAGTCTCAACACCTGAAAGAAACCAGTTTGGTATGGCTGTGCTAGACATGAAGAAACTGCTACTGTTTGCCACCTCAAAAAAGCTATATGGTGCAGAAAGCCATCCTTGAGAGAAATCTGGTAGTTTTTAGACTAATACTGAGGAAATATCAGAAGGAAGAAAGCATACTAATGTCTAATAATATTCTTAAATCCATTCTATTTGATATTTACCCAAGGCAGTGTTATCAACCATTCCTTTTGTCCAGTAAGGAGTAGGTAAGATGCAATGGTGGACATATAAATGAAGAAGCCCTATGGCTTTTCCCTATCCCCTTGGATTTAAATGTCACCTCTGTAATGAACTCACAAAATTGGAACCTAATTGAAACTGCTACTCTCTTCTCTTTCACCTTCTCTCCTCCATCCTATGTCTACTTCAGTCATCCTCTCATCTACAATATGGGGATTATAAGGACTGTTTTCAGAGTTACTGAAATAAATATCTGCACAGGAAGCTTCTCTGCAGTTTCAGACTTCCTTTTGTGGAGATCTTTGTTTATGAATGATAAGGAGCCACTGCAGGAGGGCAGCTCCCAATGAACCTATACATTGAGAATGGGTACAAATAAAATGGAGGTACTGTTGGTGGACAGTAACCAAATCTGGGAGTTGAAAAAGGAACTTATTAATGGGTTGCACACCCTCTAAAGATGTAAGTACGTAGCAATGGTTTATTTATTTATTTATTGCATCTATATGGCCACCCAACTTAAATAAAGTGACTCTGGGCAGCATCCAAAAAAATCTACTATAAATAGAAAGCCAGAAGAAAACCACACAAGACATTAAAAACCAGCTAAACCATTAAATGGTGACCAGACGAAAATATACTGCCAATATACAATTGGGACTCCACTCATCTGGACCTGAAGGCCTGGGGAAATAGCCAGAACTTAACTGCCTTTCTAAAGGCCAGCAAAGTTGGGGCCAAAGTTGATATTGTTGCATCAACCCCAACAGTGCATATTTTCAGGTATTTTGCCAGCTGTAGACTTTCCTGGCCTGGGATAGCCTGGCCAAAATGATCTATGCCTTCATAATCTGATATCTAGGTTATCATAATATGTCTTATATGGGGCTGCTCTGGAAGATGATTTAGCAATTTTTGCCAGTACAAACATTCTTCAGTCTGCTATTGTGTGATGTACCTGTTTAAAGTAATTTTATACTTACTCTTGGAAATTTACGCTGGCTGCTTGTTCCAATGTAGTGCTGATTTATAAAATCTTAAACAATTTGAGAGCTACAAATCAGTTAGAATGCTTCTCATGGTATGTACTGTCTACCTTCTCTTGAGGCGTCTTAGATGTGCTGCTGCAAAAAGTGCTGTCTGGTTGTGGCATCCTCTCTAAAGAACTCTCCACTTTGGGGTACATCAAGCTTCTTCTATGGTTTGGTTTCATAAGCTACTTAAGATATCCCCCAATGACTTTGCTTCTCACTGTACTAGAGGGTTCAATCTTATTAGTTTACTGTTCTGTTTTTGTTGTTACTGATACTGCTGTTTTAATTTTGTTATACACCGTGTGCACAATTATTAGACGAGTATTTTGACCATATCATTTTTATGCATATTTTCCACCTCCAAGCTGTATAAACTTGAATGCTTATTGGATATAAGCATATCAGATGATGTGTATTTGTGTAATGAGGGAGGGTGTGGCCTAAGGACATCAACACCCTATATCAAGGTGTC